CAGCCTATATTTATATATATATATATATATATATAATTTATAATAAATAAATTTATTATAATAAATAAATTTCTCCACCCTTATTGCATCTGCTGATAGCCACCCAGCACCCTGTTTAGAGTGACCCATTCCCTGCTGGGGGGAGATGGGCTATCTGACCGTCCACAGGGCCACGGTGAGGAATATTCATGCTATCTGGCAGATAAAGTCACTTGGATTCACTCAGACTTGGAGTCTGACTGGGCAAGACCAAGTGAGTTGCCCAGTAGAGAGTCTGATGAGGTTATCTGGATTGATTTCGATTCTGTGACTCCCAAGGAAATGGACAAGGTCCTCCAAATTGTCAGTTTGGCCACCTGCTTGTTAGACCCTGGCCCCTCCTGGGTTGTCAAGGCAGCTCAGGAAGTGACCAGAGATGTCCATGTGATAGTATCATTTTTTTTGAAGTAGGGGGGTGGCCTCTCCAGTCTTGAAGTAGTGGTGCACTCCCTTCTCAAGAGTGCATTGCTGGACCTCTTCATCCTGGACGTTTACCATCCAATTTCCAATCTTCCCTTTGGGGGGAAGGTTGTGGAGAAGTTGGTCAGATGGCAACTACAGAGGATTTTGGAGGAAACCGATTATTTGCACCTGTTTCAGTTGGATTTCAAGTCAAGGCATAGCATGAAGACAGAGCTTGTTGCACTTGCTGATGACCTTTGGTAGAGCTAGGATGGGGGAGGTACATCCAGCCTTGTGCTCCTTGAATTCATAATGGCTTTCAATACAATCACAGTATGCTACTGGGTTAGGAGTAGGGGACAGTGGCTTGCCTCCTTCCTCAGTGATTGTTTCAGGTCCATATTGACAGGAAGGGTGTCACTTATGGGTGCTGCAGGACTTGATGCTCTCCCCCTTCCTGTTTAACATCTACATGAAACCATTGAGTGAGGACATCCATCAGTTTGGGGTTTGGGCTGCACAGGTGAAGGTGACAATGTACTAACCTAGTGTTGGAGGCTGTTTGGGTCTGGATGGAGAGAATCAGACTTTGGCTTAATCCTAACAAGACTGAGGGGCTATGGCTGTTTGGGCTTCAGGTTGGGGTCATTTTCACTGTTGGTTTTAGATGGGGTTGCTGTTCCCTATTTGAGAATAGTACACAACCTGGGGTTCCTCCTGGACTTGTGGCTATTGGTCAATAAACAGGTGGCAGCTATAGCCAGGAGGGCCTTTGCACAGGTTCATCTTGTACACCAGCTGTTCCCTTTCTTCGACCAAGAAGTTCTTCAGACTGTTACTACCTGGTCACCTTGCAACCAGACTATTGCAATGCACTCTATGTAGAGCTGCCCTTGAAATCACCCGGAAGCTGCAGCTGGTCCAAATGCAGTGGCATTAGTAGTAATTGGCCCTTCTCATTATGCCCATGTGCTATGTAAGCTGCATTGACTGCCAGTTGGCTTCTGTCTCCAATTGTTTCTGCCTGTCCAGTATATTCAGGCAGAGTGGGTGCACTCCAAATCCCCTTAATTAAAGGCTGTCATCTTGTGGGACTGAAGAAGTGTGCCCTTTCTGTCATGGCCCCTGCCCTCTGGAATAGCATCCCCTCAGAGATCTGTATGGCACCCTAACCTTGACCCTAGAGTTCTAGAAGGCCCTTAAGATCTGGCTCTGTTCCCAGGCCTGGGGTTAGGGTGTTACTGGAGCCCCTGTTGTGCTCTTTCAACTGTTTTCTTGACTGGGCTGTTATGTTTTGTATTTAATTCTTAAACTATTTTAATTGTATATTCATTATATAGTAAGCTGCCCAGGCTCTTTTGGTGGCTATACTAACTCTAAATATTATTAATATTATTGTTGTTGTTGTTGATGTATGCATATATGCATATTTTGAGCTGTTTCAAAGACAGGGCAGGAAAAGGTATAGTTCCTCCAGCACTTATCTTTTTACTCATAGGGGAAACAAGGACTCATTCATTTGTATTGTTAGCTATTGTAGCACCATTCCTATGTATCACCAAGACAGTATTTCCCATTTAATGCCATCCATATGTGCTGGGCTACCACACATCTGACTGGAGATGATGTGGGGCTGTTTCACTATTTATGGAGACTGCCCAAGACCTTGGCCAATGAAGAAAAACAACAATGGTAACATTTTAATTTTGCCATACAAATAGACTGTGTTCTGAATTCTGAGCCTTCTTGTTCTGCATCAATTTCAGTCCCTACCCCTCAACATTTTGTCCATCATAGTGTGCTAGTGCTGATTCACACTGAACAACATAATAATGAGTTAGGCTTGCTACACATATTTGATGGCCAGAATAAGAAATAGCAAAGCAAAAAGCACATTAAGTTTTTACATCTAGCAGCCAAATAAGTAATTGCTAAACAGTGGAAATACCTGGATGATACTTCAGTGTATTGCTGGAATAATAAGATCTGATCTATAGCTCTACTTGAAAAAGCATCAGATAAAATCCATTGCATGACAAGCCAAAGTAATGAATTTTTGTTTAAATGGTAAAAGTAGTGAATTGTTGTTTAAATGTAGTGAACTGTTGTTTAAATGTTGTTTAAATGTTGTGAATTGTTGTTTAAATGGTGGAATTTAATTGTTTACAGAAGAGATGAGCATCATGGAAACAACTTGTAACAAACATTATGGACATGTTAAAATGAACCATTACTATGTAAATTGTTTAAAATAATCAAATAAAAAATAATTGTGAGCTCAGCCCAACTAACATTGCTGTAACCCCTTTTCCTAAATTGCAAGAATACAGGAACTGAAGGATTACATTTCCTTCAATAAGAGACAAGGAAGGTAAAGCAATTATGCTCCTTCGTGGATATGAAGCATGAGCTAAGGGACAAAGTAGTTTGGTGGGACTGAACTCTTTACAAGAGGAGCAAAAAAAAAAAAGGAAAAAAAGAAAAAAAAAAGAAAAAAAAGCCATTTGGGCTTAATGATGAAATACTGGTCTAGGACTACAGACATCTGGGCTCATATTCCCTTGGGTTATGAAACTTACTGGGTGTCCCTAGGCCGATCACCTCTAACCTATTTTACAGATAACACTGAGCGATTGGCTCCATAAAGCAGAGAAAGATAACCTGCGGCCTTTCCCAAATAGCTAAGCTGCAGCTATCAGCATCTCCCCATCAGCCGTGCCAACTGGAACTGCATTCTGCAATATTTGGAGAACTACAGGCTGCCCGCTCCTACCCTTGTAATAGCAGGTAGAAATTAATAAAAAGAGACAGGCTTAAGGTAAGAGGCTTGTGTTTTGGGTGGCCTAAGGCAGCCGAGTGTAGGGATTTCTTGTAGGCTGAATTGCTCCCGTTCAATGTCAGGAGAGGAATCGCTGAAAGTCCCCTCTCTTTCTGCACTCCTGAGCAGCCACTGCCTGCAAAAGAGATAAATCAGAGTCAAACAGTCTGAGAGTTTCTTGGATTTTGCTATATTCTGGCCAAGCCTATCATACTGGCAACAACCTTAGTAGGCTACTTTTGAATAAAAGTCCAGGCTGCCTTGCTCTTTTTGGAGCGAAATGCCACTACAGATAGGATATGCGTGCGGCTTAGATACTGGCTGCAAGGATGAATTCGCCATCGGGGATAGTTTCAACTAGCGTTTTTCAAGCTTGTAACTTTAAGATGCGTGGACTTCAACTTCTAGAATTCCCCAGCCAGCATCCCCAGCTGGCTGGGGAATTCTGGACGTTGAAATCCACACATCTTAAAGTTGCCAAGCTTGAAAAATGCTGGTTTAAATGCACGTTCGATCAGGAATACGACCCAATAAGGACGCGCAGCACACCGCTTAACCACTGGGTAGGCGCCCCCAGGATGGGCGGCTGTATCCTAAACGAATCCTCGCCTTCCTCAAGCGAGCCTCAATTGCCACGCGTAGATCCGGCGCACGAGTAATCCCAATTCAAAATTCCTTCGTCCCTCCTCCCTGGATTTAGAAGACTACATTTCCCGAAATGCATCACAAGGATAGAGCGCGAGCCTGACTCCGGCCTATTTTATACGCCAAGGCAGGGAGAGAGAATGAATGCGCAGGCGCAGCCCTTCCGCCTTCGTTCTTTGCTCCTCCAGAGAAGCTCGGTCGCTCAGCTATTATGACGGCCCCTCCCTGTGCGTCATGCGCGTGCGCGCTTAATTCCGGCCTCTACCCTCGGTAGCCGAAGGGTTGGAAGAAACAACCGAGAAAGAGGGGGGGGGGAAAGGGCGACCGCGCATGCGCCTCCGTCTGTTTCCTATACCCGACCTTGCAAACAGACAACGGCGGGCTGGGGTGCAGAGCGGGGTCGGAATGATGCCGGGTAGGAAGTGAAGTTAGCGCAGCCGTCCTGCGAGCGGCAGGATACCTCTCCCCATTCCTCAGGTCAGTGTTAAGGCCTGCACGGCCTTCCCATATTCCGGTTTCTCTTCCACCAAAGCTCTATTCCCGACAAGGGAGGCCGCCCCTCGGTGACTACGGTGGGGATGGGCAGTAGCTGACGCGTGCTCTGGAATGCGCATGCGTACTCAGCTCCGTACAGCGCCCTGAGTTCTGGTTGGAACTTGCGCTGTCACTTCCCGCGCACCCCGCTTGCTCAGGTGCTTGGCGGTTGTGGGGTGCCCTCCGGAGATGCGACGCGACTGTCCTCGGGTTTTTACGTGTCTCGTTCAATGCTTTCAGGTTGCATTCCTATTTGGGAATCAAATCTTTAATTAATGTGCTGCAGTCTGCCTGCCATTTATCATTGCTCACTCGGATTTCTCTGCCCATTGCTCGAAGGCACGAGACTTCGACGCTGAATTCGTAGACAAGCCTTTTTGTGGCTCGGGTCAGAAGAGCCAGGTTGCCTCCAGATACATGGGGAGTGTAACTTCCAGAATCCCTTGCTAGATGTGAATTTTGAGACTTGCCGTCCCAGCTAACGTGAAGAATACTAGGCTGGGGAAGTCTTGAGTATAGTAATTAATTCATGGTCATCAGAGGTGGTTCATATGTACTCCTCAGCCCTGAGCAACAGTAAGGCTTATTGGGTTGTACAGGTAGTCTTTGACTTATGACCATTTGTTCAGTGACCGAAGTTATGAAAAAAGTGACTTATGACCGGTGCCTGAAGTTGTGGCTGTTGCAGGCCCCCATGGTCATGTGATCAAAATTCAGGCACTTGGCAGGCCACCTGCACTTATGATTGCGGGGGCACTTCAAGTCCCCTACCCTCGTCTCCCCCCCATCTATGCCCTTTTGGCCCCCTGCACCCTGCCTTGTGGGGCAACAAGCAGCCCCAGAACTGCGCAGCTCTGGGGCTTCAAGAAGCCCCTGAGCTGCAGCACAGTGCAAAGCCATAATCTCCTCTGGAAGCCTCAGCCTCCCCAGTGAGTCACAGCAGCCGGGAAGCATCAGCAAGCATTTGTTCACCCAGCTGCCTTTGCTGTCTCCTTTTCAGACCCTGCTTCTCCTGCGTTTTCTCCACGTGGCTCCTTGAGCCTTCAGAGAGCTGCACTCTCTTTGCAGAGCCTTTGGAAAGAGAGGGCAGCTTTCTGAAGGCTGTGCAGCTAGTGTGAGAGGAAATTAATAGGTAGGGAAGAAATTAATAGGTAAAAAAATTCTGGTAATATATGCTGGTTAGCTTGTGAAATGTCATGATGTTACGATGGAGAATGCTTTGTTCTCCACTCCTTTCTTTTTAATCCACTCTCTGTCCTTCCCTACATCCTTTGCTTAAACCTTTCACTACTTCCCAGCCTTTCCCACATTAATGGTATATAAATATGCATCTCATCTGTGATCTTTGGTTCCTTTGATATACTCTGTACAACTGGCCATTTGTATTTATTAAGGACCCACAGTCTCAAACAGATAATTTTTTGTGTATTGAAGAGAAGCTTCTATTAACATTAAAGTTTCATTTCTCAGAGTCTTCCCATTGTTTAGTTTGCAGCACATATGGAATTGGCATGACCAAATGATAGAGTATATTTATCTGTCTTCTCCCATATGCCATTTGTTGTAGCATACAAAATGCCATCACTGTTCTCTCTGTCCCTTAATATGATCAATTGATAATGATCAACTGATATATCTTGTGCTTTCTCTAGATATGTAGGCAGTTGTGGTCTGGATATTGTTTTTTTGTTTTTTGTTTTTTTTGGAATAATTTAGGCTGATTCATCAAGTGCTGTCTTTTGTAAAAAAGTTGAGCTTCATTTCAATTACTCAGTATTTCCAGGTTAGATTTCTGCAAAACCCTTTTGAAAAATTTCATCAACATAAATTGGAAAAAAATGAGGCTTACCATATGTTGATTGGATCATATTGTCAGTCCTAAACACGTTTGTTTGTTTAGCTTAGTTTAAAACTCTAAGTGGTGTAGAACAAGGATAGTTCAATAATAGTAATCTCTTCCATAATCATATCTGAAGCTTGTTATTCGTCTTAGAGGCCCTGCGTTCTGTTCTAATATAATTAGAATCTTTTCAATGATTAGAGTATACTAAAGGCTCCTGGCTGCCCTCCTCCTCCCAAAGTGGAGTTCTCTCTCTTCACAGATAGACTAGAAAAACTTGTTTGTTCCAACAGGTTTTTGATATATAATTATTTCCTTTTTAAAAATTATCTTTATCTGATGCTGTAATTGTAAATATTACCATTTTATTTTTGCAGTATTTTGATAATTATTGTTTTATATTTGCTCTTTAGATTTTCTGATCTGCTACGTTTAAGTCCATTTAGAAAAATAAGATACAAATTAAATGAATATAGTTGGGAAATGTCCTGCAATACCAGTATTGTTTATAGATGGTTTTTAATCTAGTAATTGTATTGTTGCCTCAATTACCATGTTATGTTTGGGTTTTCATTAAATTATGTAACCTTGTGATGTTTTTAATGGGTATTCTAGATTGTGCCTGTGCTAATTAGCAGCAGCATACTGTAATACATGTAGAAGTCCAAAGTATTTTGATTAAAACTGGAACTCACATGAGATCCAGAAAAACTGGTAATGGACTACTTGTACTACTTTAGACATATTGTTGTTTTAACTTAGAATTAAACTGTTCCTTATAGCCATTAATACTATGAAGAATTTGATAAGGAAAAGTGTTTGTGTATGTATGTGTGTGTGTAATTGTTCTTCTTGATCCTGTTGTCATCTCCCCCCTCCCCCCTAAGCAAATCTTAGTTGCTCTGGTTGCACTGAGTGAGCATATTATAAGTAGCAGCAGCTTTCTTAAAGTTTTGTATATCAAACTTTATCCTGGTTAATACATTACCAAAGTTTCCAGGTTGCTACAGCCTCATAGTTGGATTTCTTTCTTACAGTTCTGATAATACCTGAATTTCAGTCAAGAAAGAGCATTCCTATACTAATACTGTTTAAATCAGGTTTCTACATATGTATAGTATGTGTTGTACAAACACTTTAAATTATTATACCCTATTGAGGGGAAACTCATCCATGATCAGTTTTACATGTATTTTTGGCTGCTATTAAAACACTTTTTATTCTTTCAAGCCGAAGCAGATGTGAAAGTCCTATGTTTAAAGTCCCATCCTTCTTTTGTGTTGCATGTCATGATTAAAGTGATAACTGCTGTTAGAAGAGAGATTTCAAAGCATGATTTTAAAATAAAATATAAAGAAAATTTTCTATCAAGCAATTTTGGTTGTTTTGAGCGCCTTTGCTGAATATTGGCCAAAATTAGCATAATTATTTCCTTTTTCTTCAAGAGGAAAGGTTGCTGCTACATATAACTTCACCTTAGCCAAGTGGGCAGGAAAAAGGCAGGAACTTGGCAGTCACAATATATGTCTTGGCTACCAAATAAAATAATACATATTTCCCTCTCCAGATACTGGCACAGTCCATTTTTAGGTTTCATTGTGGTAGATATCTATGTACTACACTTTCTATAGGAGTCACTGAGTCCGTAGAAGTACTGAACTGTGGCTGGATGGGTCCTTTGGTACCCTCTGTCATGGATGTATTGAATTGTTCATCTACCTAGATGTCATAAGAACAGCACTGTTGGATCGGTCCAAGGCACATCTCAGTCCAACATTTTGTTTCTCTCAAAGGCCAACCAGGTGTCATTGAAGTGCACACAAGCTGGAGATAGAGTTATATCTCTTTCACACATTGTTGTCCTGGAACTATTATTTGGAGGCATGCTGTCCTCAGCCAGGAGGTAACTTGGGTCTTCAATATCAAAAGTCCTTGATAGACCTACAGTCAGGTCCAGAAATATTGGGACATCGACACAATTCTAACCTCTTTGGCTCTATACACCACCACAA